TTATTTTATTTTATTTTATTTTATTTTATTTTATTTTATTTTATTTTATTTTATTTTATTTAATATAATTATAATTATTACAATGGTGATGAATTAATTATAATTATAGTTATTATTATACTTATTTATATAATAATTATTATTGTAGTAATCGTTATTGTTTTGAATACTTATTATTATTATTCGCTATATTATTCATATATATTTCTTCTTTTCTGCTTTCAGGTGCTTGAAGGGGCTCTGGTTTGTCTTTGTTTTTTTTTTGTTTTTCTGCGTTTACATTTTATTTAAATAAAAACAGACAAAAGTAAAACCAAAAAAGAAAAAAGGAGGAAGAACAGGCAGCGGCTCCATCACCCAGGACGACCTCTTCAAGGCGTTACCTAAGGGGACCCTCGTCCCTGCAAAACTAACACAACTTTCTAAACCCTAAACCCTAAACCCTAAACCCTAGAACAAGAAAACACCAAACCCTTATTAAGAACCCTAAACCCTAGCCCTAAAACACCAAGCCGTGAGCCCTTAATAGTGTCAAACCCTCATAAAAGATCTTCTTAAACAAATACAAAACACGAAAGCAAACCCTAAGTAAACCCTCGTAACACTAAACCCTAGTTATTGCAAAACCCTCGAGGCTAATGTACCCGAAACCCTCGTCGATACTTCCCTCATACGTCTGTCTCTGCGGCATCCTAGGTGAGTCATCTCAGCCTATAATTATATTGAATATAAAAATATTTATTTTATTTTAAAAAAAAACTCAGATTCCTTTTAAAGCAATCGTTTGAACACCACAAGTTGCAGCGAGGCATCGGCGTCAGGCGTTGTCTGTTTGTTGAAATGATGAGGAGTTTCTGCGGTGAGTGGACACCATTTCTTTATAAAATTAATATTATAAAACATTTGAACTGTTATAGAATACAAAAATAAATTTTTAATACAAAAAAGACTCAAGTGTTTCATCTCGATTTCAACACCCTTGTACTAGGACCGTTGTATTCATACACGGACTGACCACGCATCCATCGGCAGTGAAGCTCTCTGGCTTTTCTAGGAATTTGTTTGTTTCGTTTGTTTTAAAAACAAATAATAACTCTTAAAAACAAAATTATGGAATTAAAGAATTTAACTTTCTCTTGCTTTTTCTTATTCCGCAGCTTTCTATGGAGTCCACAGCACGGGAGCTAGCAGCGGCCGCCGAAGCAATCGGAGGAGGAAACCATGAATAAAAGTTGCATATTACGGAGTTTATTTCAATGATTCTGTTAAAAAAGTAAAATTAAAACAAAAATAATTCATTGAAATCAGAAATAGCTTTCAGTTTGAGGCAAACGTTTCAGCTTTCTGTTGATGCGTTCTGTCATCTCTTGCGTGTTTCGTTCGCTTCGTCGTTCGTTTCTTCTTTTTCTGTTTGAAGCAAATTGCAAGCAAAGAACTTTTTACTTTTCTTTCTTATTCAAGATATCAACTTGGAGTGTTCTCTCTGAGTTGAACATTTCTGTTGTCTACATAGCTGCACGCTGCTTCGCCTTTCTGCCGGTTCGTTCTTTTCTTCTTATTGCAACTCGCCAGTCTTCGTGACAGCCTCTGGAGAATTTGACCCCTTAGAGGCTCTGAGTACAGCTCCATTCGTTTTGTTTTCTTTATTTTTTTCTTCTCTCTATCTACAGCACCGAGCACAGCCTCTGCCGCTGCATAGAAACCACGGTGAGGCTCTCTGCACGCAGCAGCTCTCTCTGCGTACACCGCAACAGTGACGCGTCTTGTGCCAGATGCTATCTTAAGAATGGCAGAATTTTCTTCTTCAGATCAATTCACTCTTCCTCCCTCAGCGACAGCTGTAGCTGCTGCGCCTGTTGCAGCAGCAGCAGCAGCAGCAGAAGCTGCTGCAGAAGCTGCTGCTGCTGACGACGAGTATAGGCCCAGCCTTCACGAGGCGACGCAGCCAACTTCCCTTAACAAATCAGACCACAGTCCTGATAGGACGGGAAGCGTGGGAGGAAGCAGAAGCAGCAGCAGCAACAGCAGCAGAAGCAGCAGCAGAAGCAGCAGCGGAAGCAGCAGCAGAAGCAACAACAGGATGAATTTTAGCGGCAGCGGCAGCAGCAGCGTGGAGGGGCAGCTGCTACGTCATCTGTTCGGACCGCTGCAACAGCAGCAGCAGCAGCAACAGCAGCAGCAGCAGGGTACAGCAGCAGATTCTTCTTCTTTCTTCTCTTCTGGCTATGTCTCTTCCTCAGAAAGCAGACTGGGCTCAAACCCCTTGGGGGCCCCCTCTGAAGGGGACGGCAGCAGCAGCAGCGACAACAGCAGCAACAGCTGCAGCAGAGGACCCTCAACAGAGGCCCCTGATGGGGCCCCTGCTGCACTCACCAGCACGAGAGGCAGCAGACGCCGCAGCTTTAGGCGGCTTCGGTCCCGGCGGCAGCGGCCGCTCGGAGAACAGCAGCAGCAGCAGCAGCAGCAGCAATGGAACAGCAGCAGCAGCAACTGCAGCAGAAGCAGCAGGGGATCGAGGACGTCTTCAGTGGATGCCTTGGAGAGGACAGACCCCATGACCAGCAGCAGCAGCAGCAGCAGCAGCAGCCGGCGCAGCAGCGTATGCAGCAGCATCGGCAGCAGCGGCAGGAGCAGCAGCAGGAGCAGCAGCAGCAGCAGCAGAATGGTTGACACCGACGGTGTTTCCTCATCTGGAGAGGAGGACAACCGTAGAGAAGAAAGTGCTGCTGCAGCAGAAACAGCAGC